CAAAATCAGAAAGAAACTTATTAACAAGATAATTAACTATAATCTTTTAAAATTGAAAAAAAGTTTTAATGAAAAGAATGGAAATACAACATTGACATCATGAAAAATTTGCTCAAAAATGAAAAGAATTATTTTATATTCATCAAGCTTTTAACAAAGATACATATCAATTTAGAATAATAAATGAAAAATTCTTATAATAGAGATTATTTAAAGTGTTATATTGAAAATAATAATCTGGAACTCATAATTGTAATATAAGATTAATCAATAACTGACTGAGAAGTCAATAAACTAAGCTAACAGAATTGATTAAATCTTACATCACCTTAACTGGGACAAGAATCACAATTAATGCAAAATGATAACTCAAAAAGTATCAACTACTTTGGAAAATTATTATTGATTAAAAAGTTATTATTCACAATTAACAGTTCATGATAAACTCTACAATTTGATACATATTTGCAAATTACAATATTGAGATAATTCACTATATAAAGTATACAAATATAATGATTGTGATGAGATAAAAATAATTATTAAAATAGAAAATTATTTAGAAAAAACACAAAAATAGATAATATACATTAACTAGTTGTACTTGCCACTGGTATAGAAATTGTTAATGAATATCACATATTGGATGCAGAATATATAATGGAAATGCTGAAGAAAATATCATTATATTATTATCAGATGAAGACAAAAATAAAATTAAAGATTTATATTAACTCGATGAAAAGAAAAATTGTTATTATGAAGAAGATTTACCTTTAAATGGAAAAAAAATTGAAAAATATCTTATCAACAAATAAAAAAAAATTTTGTTGAAGAAGATGATGAAGAGAAAATAAATTTGTTTTAATAAAAGAAGATTATTTTTATTATTATACTGATTATTATTATAATAAAAAAGTAGAACTATATCATTCTCTCTATAGCTAAAAAGATATTTCTCTCAAAGATAATAATAAAGTATTTCCTCATCATCATCATTTTTTTCATCTTCATCATCATCCACAAGAAAACACAGAATTTTCAGCATCATAATCTGAAATTGACAATTTCAATTTAAAAATCAATGACCAAATCAGAAAATAAACTGAAAATCAATCAGAAAATAATTATGAGACTATCTGAACTGCTGGATTCCAGTCAGATAGCCAAGAACAAAAAGATGAGTGAAAAAGAATAATTGTTTATCTTTTATCATTCAACACCAATAACCAAATTACTGATAATAATAATAATAATAATTGAAATACAGCAAGCATCTCATAAACAATAACAATTATTAAAGAAAGCAACATTAGCAACAAAAATAATAAATGAAACAAAATTGAAAAAATGAGAGCAAAATAAAGATAAAAGTGTGAAAACAGGAAAAAAAATTACACAATAATCACCACATCAATCCAAACTCACAAAGTGATAGTTGCAAATGATATTACTACCATTGGGATAATAGAAATTATCACATGAAAGAAAGAAATAACAAAATAGCATTTCCTTTAGAAAAATATGAAATTTGGAGAAATACTACTACCTCCAATAAAAACACATATCAAACAAATAATAGAACTTACCTGGATTAAAAAACAAAAGAAAAAGCAACAAAAACACTGAAATTACAACTGGAATGCAACAAAAACTTTTATAATACATATTAAAATTATAACACTTTACCAAATAAAATGCATGCCAAACAAGCACACTTTCCTTACAAAAACTAGAACAATAAAGAAAATAAAAAGCATAGTTCAATAGCAAATAATATAAATTATTAAAAAAACAATCAGTATACTATCAATAATTTGAAAAATAAAAGAAAAAAAAAGAAAAAAATAGCATAAAAACACAATCAGAAATAGATTTCCAAATGATTAATAATAATTTTGTGACTAAATGATCATTTGTTATGGCATAGTCACAAGCTGTAATACAAATAAATCTCTAAATTACAAAGAATATCACAGAAATAATAGAAATACATACTATTACATAAAAATTAGGCATGAAAATTAGTCTAAATTATGGATCTATTCAATCTGATTCCTCTTTTAAATATAATTTAACACAACGATATTGTAATTCTAATTTTTTATATTAGTATCCCTCTTTATTTATTAATTATAATTATTAATAATTTTGTATTATATTTTAATTATACAACAATATTTATTATAAATACAGCCATATTTTAAATTAGTTTAAAGTTTTTCTTTTAATTTTTAAATTTTCTTTTGTAAATTATCCAATTTACTTTTCAAAAATATCATCAATCTGTAAAAATTAAGAACCAAAACAATACTTGCTGACATAGCTCTGGAAATAACTACAGTAATATTATTCAACAGAAGAATCACTTTTGATATAACTTGGAATGAACAACAACTAGTAAATATCATTACCTTCACTGACTTCAATAGAGAAAAGTTATACCTATACAACAAATTCAGCAAAGTTTTAATTAAAGATATTTCATCTTGGCATTGGTAGGTAGCCAATAGAGCTGAAAGATTATTTGAAAATATCTCAGAACAATCAATTTTGAATTTAAGAAAGTTATTACTAATTAAACTTGGAAAGTTAAAGAATAATAACTTTGAAGAATTGCTAAGCATAATAAAAACTTAGTAACTGACATTGAATTTTATGGAGCAAAATCTTAATGAAAAGGGATCTGTTATGATATGAACTTTTAGTATATTAATTATTTTATTATTTAATGAACAATTCATCATAATATCATTGAATAATATTTATTAATATTTTATTGGACACTAGCTAAAAAAGATTTTATTCATTAATATTAGATGATAGAATAAGCAATATAATTATAACAAAGTTAGCAAAATGATCTAAGCTAAACTAGCAATTGGATCCAAGTTAAACCAGCAATCTGATCATAGCAAAAACAGTAATATGATACTAGCAAAGTAAGCAATTAGATCTTAGTAAAAGTAACAATAGTATTATAACAAAAGTAACTTTTGTAGAACCATTAAATGTTATAAAAGCAATATAACTTAGCTAGTAATTAAAAAAGTAAGTTATAATAAGTTATAAGAAGTTGAATACTTCAGAAATCAGAACACTTCAATAAAAATAACTTGTTAAAATTATATTTGATATTGGTTTTGGTCTTGAAAAATAGATTACTATTGAATGATCAATTGTTATATTTGACTTGAAAGACAGTCACTTAGAAGACTTATTGTCTTAAATTATTATTTTTAAATTATAAAGAAACCTAATAAAGTTTAATGAAGTTATTGAATATTATTCTAGCTTGTTACAACAAGGACACATGTTACTTACCTTTAGTAATAGTTTTTAGTCTCTCTCACTATAAAAACTTAGTTTCTCTCATCTTTTATTTAGTAAAAGCATGTAATTAACATGTCAAGAATTCAACATCTATAAAAATGATAACAATATATAATATTTAGATATTGTTTATTATATATACAAATTTCTTTACAAAGTGCTTTGATTATTATAGAATATTTTTTAATATTATTTATAACTTTGATTTTAGAATGTAAAATGATACCATAAAAATCTCTCTATAGTTACTATTTGTACATTGGCTAAATTTTTATTAATAAAAAAATCTCTCTATAATTACTATTTATTAATCAATCATTTAATTTAATTTTAATATATATATATTTATTTATTACATTATAAATATTGATTTATTATTTAGATATATTATTATTCAAATTATCACAATTAATCACAATTAAATCACAATTCTCTGATTGGATATCACAAGTCACAATTAATTGAGACACCATCTTTACTTGTGATACACAAATTCAATCTGGATAAAATTGTTTTTAATCCAATCTTAATCTGGAAATTTTATAACTAAACCTGGAACTAAAAAAACTGGATTTTTGCCTAATTATTTTTTTACAGAGCAGATTTTTTGTAGATAAGAATTTCTTAAAGAAAAGATAAATAACAAGAAAGTGAGAGTTAATTAAATTAGTTAAAAAGTAAAGAGAATTAACAATAATCTTGACAGCAAGATATCTAAGCCCTGTACCAATATTTTATCACCTTATTTCCTTGAACGGACGAGGTGAGAAAATCGGGCTTCGACTGTACCTTTCTTCGATTCTAACTAATTACGAAGATCCACAAGATCAGTTTTGACGTCTTGTTTTAACCTATTCATCTTTGATTCCTTTCTTCATCTCTGTCGTTTCTCAAGCTGTTCATACCCTAATACATACCAGCTTGGGTAAGCATCTCTCAAAGCGAAACGCCAACAATAGTACCATAAAATTACTTGTAGTTCCGCTCGAGTTTTTGCTAACATCCTCGAGAAACGAGGCTGAAATATGGCCATCGCCTGATTAGCAGAAGTTCCGACTTCCCGTAGGAAAAACCCGGTTCATCACTTACCAGAATTAGAAGAGGTACTGTTGTCATTAACAGCATTTGAAGAAAATCGACGCAGAAGTTGTGTCATGGTGGTAAGGTACAAACTGGTTTGGTTGCACATTGAATTTTAAAGCTGTATTCAAACACCGCAATTTGGATTCTTGTTTAAATAGGGTGGTTTATGCGACGAATTGCGGTAATATTTATTGTTTCAAATTAAATACTGTATGAAACCGTGACGTTAACGCGCTCGTGACATAAGAAACATTTTTGTGATAACGGAGCAGCCACTGTATGTTTTGTCGGGATTAAGGAAAAAAAGCACACTAACTTTGACAGGACGGATAGTTTTTGAGCAGAGCAACAATGACGTCTCAATAAAGCCATGAATTCATGATTTTATGGAGACATTAAAATTAGTCCGGTCCCGTCTAAAAAAGACCGGTCTATATAATTACAAATTCATCGCAAAATCTTGACTCAAAATGTGTAACAGAGCAATCTAACTAAAAATGATGAAACGTACTTTATTTTTATTGTTATCTTATATACTTGTAATATAAAAATGACCGAAATTAACAAAACTTGCATTTTTATTGTACATAATATACTGGGTACAGATTGATCTTCAGATCACGGACCGAACCCGGACTAGTCTCAAACTATGGACTGAAGACCGCATGGACCAGTTCACTAACTGGTCTACGGACTGGTCTTGTCAGGACTAATCCAACCCTAGTAATCCACTCATTGCCACGAATTCCAGGCATCATTTTGTTGAGGTTGTTCTTGCATATGACTTGTTTCTATTACCAATGAGTCAACAGCTGCTGTCATCTGTTGCTGATTTTGTTGTTGATTTTGATGATGTCGAATTAAAGCTGCTTGTTGCTGTTGATTTGCCCCATTCTCATCACCGTGTATTTCCTCATTAACCATAGCATTAGGGTTGATTAGAATCGTAGGAGGACTCTGATCACTACTTACTGGATATGATGAATAATGTGAGGTTAATTGATCACGATGCATGCGAAAAATCGCTTGATTTCCCGAATCATTACTATCTGTGGAAGAATGTCGTGATCTATTTTGAACGTTACCCGATACTGCAACATTAGATCCAGCTGGTATGGGAGATGTCTGCGAATTATTCGATTGATGATGATTGGCAGTTTGAAATGCCGAGTTATTATAAGGATTATGCAGAGACGTTGGTCGATCATCATGCTGATGTGGATGTTCTGTGTAACCATCCATCGTCGTCCAACTCATATTGTAGATTTGATCAGTGATATTTTGATGATGATCGCCACTAGCAGGATAATTCGCGAAATAAGCTTCGGATGACGGAACTACGGGTGGCTGAGCTAATGATGCAAGATTGAATCCAGGTAACAGAATTGGATGTACGGGGTTAAAATAATGTCCAAGCTGACCATTAGAATGTTGTTCAAATGTCTGTTGATGATGATGATGTTGTTGTTGTTGGTGTTGTTGTTGTTGTAGATGTTGTTGTTGTAGCTGTTGTTGAGGGAAGGGAGGAGATGGCTCCGGTGTAGGATTTGATCTATACGAAGGATCTGATGGTGGAGATAAAAATTGAGGTGGCTGTAGTCGTGGGTGTAAAGATAATTGTTGTTGATGAAGAGATTGAGATTGCTGATTGATATTGATTATTTTTATTTTGCTATTTCGAGTTGAATTGTGAAGAGTTTGTTGAAGTGGAGGAGATTTTGGCGAAGTGACAGAGACCGAAGATTGACCAACACTAATGTTACCGCTTATTTGTTGATCTGGTAATGATTCTGCTTTAATAACAGTTGGTGAGATATTGGTTGATTCAAGGTCCCCAATATCCTGGTGAGTTGATGGAGGTGGTGTTGGAATTGTTTTAACTTGATCTTTTCTTCTATCATTTCCACTGCCAATTTCATTCGTTTTTTTATTAATTTTATTTTTCTTATTTTCCAAATTAACACCACCACCCTCTTCTCCTCCATTACTATTATAATAGCCATCACTCTTATCATTACCACCCTTATTTGTGTTATTAGTAGTGGTATTTTTAATATTTTCATCTTCATAAACACCCATGGCTCCACCACCCTCGTATCCATTTTTCCGAGCGGCAGCACGTGCCGCTCGATTGTCTTCCAATTTTGCGAGCTGCACCTTAAATAGAGCCTCCAACATTTTCAGACAATCATCAACTCCACAATTTCCACCTCCTACTCGTGTTTCTCCTCCAAGAGATCTCAAAACCTGCAACGTTAGTTGCATATTTTTTATCCCATGATGACTCGACTCCGGTTCCGAGACTAACATCTGATGTATCATGCTCGCCTGCGCTAAACAATAGCCAGTCGGGGTGAAGCAAAAGTAGATCCCATGCTTGTTGATAGGCATGGATATCGCAAGCTTTGTGATGTTGGTGGCGGCTTGAATACATATTTGGCGGGAATTAATGTTTGGGAATTCTCCGGAATCTATGTATGGTCGGTGAAGATGTATTAGAATGGTATTGTACATTTGATGTATAAATGAGGCGAATGGTGTCATTGAGGCAGGTTCCGGATCTAAATTTGCCGGTAGTGACCACTGTAGGTGTGATGGTAAACCCAAGATCCACGAACTTAGAGCTGCATCGATGGCAGGCAATGTATTCCGTAGGAACCCCGGTTTTGAAAAATAAGGTTTCGACTGAAGAATATTCCCCAGTATTTTAAATAGTTTACATAGATGCATAAAATTGACGACGTCCAGTGCGTCCTCTCCGTCATCGTCAAGTTCATAAGGTAATCGTACGTCAAAATCATATAAGGGTAAACTTTTGCTATTAAAAAAAAGGATATCGCGTTTACATCGCGCAAAACTGTTTGAAATGGATTAAATTATGATGAGCAAATCTCATACCCAAATGACGCGCACGCTACCACTTCTCCGATATAAGTAGCCCAAAAAACTCTATTTCGAACAGCCTTCTCCGCTTTCCCAAGATCCCATTTAAAACAATCCCGATTCAGGCTCAAATCTCTTACCATTGACATTGCCATGCCGAGATACATCCATATTCTGCAAGAGTATCGACTCTGAGAATAAGGATAATAGTTGTTAATTTTTAGAATAAATCAAACCTCATTTTTTTTTGCATTAAAGTTAACTCACAGATTTGACGCAAAATTGTGCAAGAAAATGAAGTGCCTATAGTAATTACATAGATATCAAGTATAACACATAAAGTCATCGGATTAGACATTATGATCGATAATTTTAAAAATCATCGAGAATGCTGCTCACGTCAGGAATCGCGAACCTGTATTGTTGATAGTCGTGGTCTATCCATAAAATCGTCAAGGAGCGCTAATCCAATTAATGAAAGATTGTGGATTATTATCAGGAATATGACTTAAAAACAAGAATTGAAAGATTCACTCACCTCGTGCCCGTTCAAAAAATAAATCGCCTACCGTTTCCGGTTTATCACGATCACTTCTTGTTCTCGGATCATCTTGAAATACACTCGCCACGGCAAATATCGAATTTAATAGTAATATTGAAGGAGGATTATTTTTATCTTTCAATGATTTCAAGAAGCTTTGACGATGTATGATTGGCATTCGACACGAGTAACCGTATTCAAGATATATTTGAATTAGACGATCGAATAAATCTTTGGGTGGTAGTTCCTGAGATGCATGTATTACTTCGGGTAGTGGTGGTTCCAATGCTGTTGGTTTAGTTGCTTCTTTTGACGTGTTACCACCACCACTATTGCCGTTCTTCTTTGATGAAATATAGACAGTGGATGATTTTGCTAATTTCAATGTAGACATCGTTTCACAGATTTTGTCTGGATCCAATTTCCCTTCTTCTTCAAGTTTTGAACCCATGTTGACTAGATCATGAGTTGGTAAAGGTATATCCGGTTCAATTTCTGCTTTATCTGCATCTGTGCTTGGCAGTTGTGTATCTGCACCCTCCAGATATTTTGTAAGCACATGTTCAATCTTTTGATTGATATTGATAAAAGATTAATTTACCCATTCACGCGTATGATAAATATTACAGGAAATCAATCAGAAATATGATCATTAAAAATAAATTCGCGCACCTTGCTTAGCCTATCATCAATAGTCTCGACATAACCACGTTTACTCCCCGGGTGACTATAACTGCATTCGCCATTGACAGATTTACAGTTTCCACAAATAGGATAATCACCATCACACTTTACGTGTCTTTTTCGACATCTATCACAAGCATGGCTAATTTTTTTTTTGAAAAGATTTTATTCGTTTTATTTTGAGACATAGACACGTGTAATGCCATAAAGTAGTTTATATGTGTTTGAACCTCAAAAAAAAAGGTATAATGAACCCTTTGCTTGCCTCCCATTAAGAACACCCATTTGCACCCAGAGCAATTCATTGCATGAGCAATTAATTACATAGATTTACCTTAGTCTTGCCCTCTTTTCTCGTTCATTCGACATTCTTATGAATAATAAATTCGTCGGTATTATAAAAAGAATGTGTATATATTATATATATATATATATATATGTATGTATGCGTTAAAGTTTTTAAGAATTTGACGGTAGAAAATAAAGAAGCGATAGAATTTGATTTGACCACACGTAAAATTTTGGAGTTTTCTGAAAAAGGAGTTGTTAGTGCGTATGTGAGAACTTTGCACCGCTATATATAGTTATTTTCTGCATATAAAAGAGTAAAACAAAATAATTACAAATCGCTATTTAGAAAAAAAAGATCATTTTTTTAGGGACAGCATATATATATATATATTTATATACACGAACGAACGATGAATACAAGGGGCATTCTCCGCAGCAACTTGTTATTGTTACAAGTAAGTTAAGTTCCTTTAACGTTAATCGTATGTAACTCAATTATATTATTAGGTTTTATTAATGATGTGTAACAATTAAATAAATGAATTGTATGCATTACTATATACCATGCATTGCATATATGTAAGAGTTTTTCTACTGATTTATATATTTTCAATGATGATATGATGACGAATGACGACGCAGATTAGTTCTCATATGTATAAAATTCAAAAAAAATCTTGACACGGACTTCAACAGTGCGTGTTTGGATGATTAATTTTCCGCCATCACGCCACAATTTTATTTATGTGTAATATTCATTGAAGTAATGTAAATCCTTTGTGTTGGAAAATCGGTTGGTCAGATTTACTCGTATCAAATGAAAAAAAATCATTTCTCAATGCATCAGTGGAATTTTTGGTTCATGAATCAGATAAGCTTCACAACTATTCTATATTTGCATTAGTTTTATCCCATGCTGAAAGAGGCAGGGAACGTGCAGTATGCAGACCGTTCTTGTTGACACACTTTTCCAGTTATTACAAACACTAACATTAAACAGCGGCAAATCACAACCACAAACCTATATGCCATATGATATTGGCTTGGTTATTTATAGCTCATTTGATTGTGAAAGAGAAAATTCGAAAAACATGGACACAATCAGGAATGATTGAGCAGAAATAATGAATGATTGATGCGATCAATGCTGGGCTGCATCAATTTTTATTTGTTTATTTCTCAGAATGAACATTTTTCTTATTAAACAGGTCGAAACAGAAGGAACTGGGCGTTTCACAAAGACAAGAAAATCTAATTAATGAACGTGGACAGACGATTCGAACAAATAAATGTTCATCTTCCAAACAAATCTTAATCTTCCGATAACAAAGAGAGCTCCAATATTTGTTTTTAACCACCATTGAATTTACATACGATGATGGCGAAGTAGGTGGCGTAGACTTAATAGATCACGACCTTTCACCTCTATCAATTGAAATATTTTCTAATTTTATCTTCTTGCAGAATGATCGTTGCACAATGTAAAACAATGCTACAAAATTAATTTGCCTTAGTCAATTGCATTACTGATTAAGAAAATTGAATCATCCGTTTTTTTTTCTTTACGAGGCTTTTTTAGAATTACTTTTACTCTTGTTTTGCTGTTTATTCTTTTCTTTCTTCAAGTCTACTAATCATAGATAGACTCATATCTCTCTCTCATTGAAGTGATAAGACAAACAAATTTTGAGATATCAGCGCCAAAATGGCTATGCTATCTATCTCAATGTTCGCCGCGATAAGAAACTGTACGCATCATTGCATATCTGTGCGAATCGTTATTATACGCACTAGACTAATTGGTCGAAATTAAAATTGCATTATTTTTGTTTCTTGCAACGTATTGTTTCTTTGTTTTGTTATTTAATACTAAAGGGAAATTGTTGAATTTGCGAATATTATTAATTCGTTATATTTTGTAAAACTTAATTTTGATTCCTAAGATAAAGTGCATTCAGTCGTTCCTATTAATAGAATCGAAAAGAAAATTCCGCTAATGATGTTTGTAATTCAGATTGATCCGATGCAAAAATAAAATAAAATCCAGATTACATACTCGCTGAGATGAATCGTTTTTTTGCTAATAGTTTACACTTTCCTGAAAGAAGGTGATCACAAATATGCACCTCAAAGAATAAATTTCCGAAATAAATTAAACGATACCAGTTTATTTATTTATTTATATTTCACAATAATGCATGTAACAGATCACACAGTCCCATTTTATAAATCCTATATATTCATATATATGACGGAAAAACTAAGGTACCGCTGTTTGATGCACAAACTATGCTGCAGTGCGAATTAACTGGAAAATTGTTTACCAAATCTCCCGATGCTTTTAAACTCAAAGTCTCAGCGTGTATGTATTTTTTGAACATGATGACCCAAATAAAAATATGGACAGGAATAAGTGTGAGCTCAGCGCAATAACACAATAAGTTCAGTTCGAATTCAAATTCAAATTCAAATTCAATATACGTACAAACATAATTCCACCATTTCGTATACTATAAAAGATCAAATATCAAAACTACAATGGAAAACGTAAATTTACCTTAATTACGTCTGATAAATATATTCATTATCTCCGATCACAATGCGAAAAAAATTTAAGGATTAATGAACTTGTGGATTCCAAAAATTAGCAAACAATCACAACGGATATTAATGATGGATAACACAATCTTAATGAGATCAAAATATTTATATAGGATTGATTAAAGTATATCACATTACTTTCAATTGGAACCGCTCAGCTAGTGAATGAAATTTAGAAATAATCGTTGTTTCTCGTGGATATTGCAATTAATTAGGGCATTATCACAATTCTAGAACCCGCTGTTTAAACAAGTATAATTGAATTAATAATTTGTGTTTGGATTTTTCAATCTATTGTCCATGAAATCAATCAATCAATCAATCAATAATTATCTAGTTTTAATGCATTGATTTAATAGTCTAACGTTATATCGATATTCAATTAATTAAATTATTCAGGTAACGGTAATTATGGCTCTGATCGACTTGCCAGAAGAATTGAGTTTCAGAAATTAGAGCAAAACAAGCTAACGCTAATAAATCGCCAGATTAATTTATTAATTGATCGAATCGCAGTAATAAATAACAGAACCATTTCCATTAATAAAATATACATTTATTAATGGGTCGAGCCGCGATAATAAACAACAGAAACATTTCCATCGAGAAAATACATTTATTATAAGAAAAGATGACCGTCAGCAAGTTGCATCCGTAAATTGCGATATCTTTTGTGATACGTCTGCTTCCCTAGATATTAAGTAACGTAAATCGAATGATTGGTCTGTCGCAGAATTGAATGGATAAATAGAGTAAATGTTTAACGTCAAGCTTATTAGCACTATAATTGGAAAGTTAGTGTATGGAAACTATGGAAGTACAAATCACTACATATTTTCGATATTGGGATCGACTTATCGTTAGAGTACTGTATATATATACGTGTTTTTTTTTTTTTACAAATGTTAATCTGCTAACTTGATTTGATTTAAATCGACGATTTTGATGATCTTATCAAAATATTTTAATAAAGAGTAAACCAAAAAGATTTTTTGAAAAGAATTAAAGATAATGGGGTCAACGTCTTTTGTCTATTCTATGTCCTTGATACAAGCAAACAAGAGATCATTTATACCCCCAACAAAAAAAGGTGATTGCGAAAATAATTGGATTGCGACACAATCAAAAGACAATAAATACAATATAATTAAACTTAATTAAAATCAATTTAATTACCTCCACGCATATTTTATCAATCTCGTAGTAGTCGCAGTAAAAAGTTTCAATTTGTTATCAGTCGAATCATTTAAATATAGGTTATATATATATTAATTATATATATAAATATATATTAAAATACACAAACTTGAAACACGTAAGTGCCATTTAACGAAAGAATAAAAGCACCGATTATGTAACTTGTAACATCTGACAACCGATTAAGTGGGAGTTCGGGAACCAGAGTAAAAATTTCTCAGGAAAGAAAAATGGAAGCCAAACAAATGCTAGGAAAAGGAATTTCAAGAGTACACAAACAAAAAGTCAGAGCAGTAAAGAAACTTTGTTTTTTATATCCATATGCAAAAATGAACAAGATTAAGTATTTAAACAAGTTAGTTCCCTGATTACGTTGTCGAAGCAATCCATTACACAAGCCCTTGTCATTGTAGAGTCATCATTAACAGCTCTTTTACTATCGTATTAGCGGTAAGTTCAATGTTTTACACGGATGAGAGTAATTCCTTTTAGTTATTGAAACAAAAAAAAAAACGCGTGAGAAAAGCAGGTTTTTCCCTTATTAGCTATTATTTGTGTTGTGTTATTTAATTCTTGATTTTTTGGCTTTCTTTCATTTAAACAAATAACGGCATCCATTCTTAGAAGACGCGTCTTATGGTAAAGCCATCCAATACTTTAATGCTTTGAATTGCAAAGGATTTGTATCCAAACATTTACTCACAAAAATGCACTGCCAAGATAACCTTTGATAAGTACTATAATATAATGTACTCTTTTTATGTAATATAATATTAATTCAGTGAACAGTTAGAATTTTTCATAGGATGTGTTTAGACTGTTTGCACTATCGAAATCGAGTGATACGTCACTTGCACCTTGTACCAATCGATATTATTTTTAGAATTTCACAATCTTCAATCTTATAGAATGATCAAATTTGGTAAGTTTTTTGGTACATCAACTTATAAATAAGACAGTGACACAAGCTGTCATAGAAAGCCAAGAAACCGCATCCATGCAAAGAAATTATATATTTTATATAGTCAACCTTGAATATAATAAGCGAACACGGAATATAATGAACTTGACTTTTAAATTTATTACGAGTTCGTTATATAATATAGTAAATTTGATATAACGAGCTTTTATTAGTAAACCCGTCAGAGTTGACTGTAATTTTTATAGAAAAATTTACTTTCGTTAATTAACAGAAGTTCAGCGTAAATACTCTGATATATTTTGCTTTTTTTTATCTGAATTTGGTTTTTATCATCTCTCTATTTAGGGATAGACGATAAAAACCAAACTCGGATAAAATAAAGCAAAATATGTAATATATGTTAGAGTATTTAACTTCCGTAATATCTAATAGAATATTTACCCTGAGCTAAACTTGCCACCCGTAATTGTTTTTGCAAAGTTGTAATGTTGCAACCTATATGTTGTAACTCGTTGTAATAATTACGACCAGCAAGCTTAGCCCTGAGCTTCTGTTAATTAACAAAAAATCAAAGGTAATCAGCGAAAGAAAAAGGAAAAAGTGGGGAGGTCGCATCAATATGCAAACAGCGATAATACTATTAAGTCGTTCGGGTGTGGTTCGAGATCCCGATATTCGTAATCCCGACAGTACATAAGCCCGACTGACAAAATCCTGAAACACCAAAATCCCGACAATTTCAATATCCCGACGGTTCAAATCCCGACAATTACAAAAATCCCGACGATTAAGATTCTAAAACCGATATGGTGCATAAAATCTAAAGTCATCAAACGTTTGTATTTTATAAAATGTATAAACTTCGTTACTAAGAAATAAAAATTTAATCCGTGAATATGATAGAATAGGCCTTTTCTGAGCATATTCACGGATTAAATTTTGTATTTACTTCTTAGTAAGGAAGTTTAAACATTTTATAAAATACAAACGTTTGGTGATTTAGATTTTATGCACCATACTTAAATGTGCGGGGAATACAAATTTCTCAAATAGGAAATTTGTGATATTCACCAAATAAGTAAATTTTCTCCTGCCGGATGGCTCAAACCAATAAGAATGATCAACCCGGCAAAACAAATCCGATACAAGAAAATGAAAATGTGAAAAATATGTCAAAATTTGACCTGAAGCACTAATAAAAAATACCAGGAAGACAATTGTACATATAATCTTGTCCCCCAGTTCTAACCCTAACCCAAGCAATAAATTAGCGTTTTACTAACCACATCTTTCCTATTGGGGAAGCTTGTATTCGCCGCACATTTAAGTACGTATACGCTGGTTTTATAATCATTTTGAACCGTCGGGCTTATGTACTGTCGGGATTACGAGTATCGGGATTTCGTACGGATCCCAAGTCGTTCACTTTCTCTAAGGGTAACAATTTTTATTAGCACACCAATTAGAGTCCTTTTTAAACTTAATAAAACTTGTCCTGCTGATACTTGTACTTTCTACGCTTTATAAATCTCAAATGATGCAGTAACGTCATAAATTTTAATGATGAAAGGCAAACTTAACGAGTTACAATCCAAAATACACGTGCATGCCTATTTTTAAATCGGACAGTGCTAATCACATGAGCTTTCTGGGGAAAAATTTATAATCGGTGATGTATAATAATCGATTGATGTATCACACAAACTTTAATATAGATGAATGAGAGAATAAAAATTGATTTATTATAAGACTTGTTTGTAGTGCCCAAAAACTAATTACTCTTCTACATTTTCCCTAATTTCTTATTAAATATCTTCTAATGAACTTTTGGCGCATCTATTATGGTACCATTCGTTGAACGTGTAATCGTGGATGCATTTTCAGGTGATTTCACCTGATTAGTACTTTTACACGTGACCCGCCGCATGACTAGCTTCGCCAACAAAAAATCACGCTCACGTGAGCACGGAAAATTAACGTTAAAGGCTATTTATCGTTCGGGTTAGGGTATAGGTTAAAGTAGAGGACAGGATTATATGTAAAATTGCCTTCCCGACATTTTTTGTTAATGCTTTAATCCAGATTTTGACATCTGTTTTCCGTATTTTTTACATTATTCACTTCTTGTATCGAATTTGTTTTGCCAGGTTGATCAAAAATTTGCGCATTCTTATTGGTTTGCTCTCATGTGAGCGTGAATTTTTGTTGGCGATGCTGGGAAAGTTCACTGGTCCAGAAAAGATTACGAGATTAAGCACTATCCGTAGGCTTCCCGTTTTTAAATTTCATTTTATTGTAATTCGCAATTCCACAAGTTAATTACAGTAACCCTTTAAAAAAATGTTCAACAAAAGTAGCAATTTTCCGTGTGACAAATATTAGACATATGTTGAACAAATGTTGAATATAAACGTTCGACTAACCATAAATTTAGATACACGTGATTTTTAAGAGTAACCAATCAAAGTACAAAATATCAAAATACTAATACCATTTCGATTATGGTTAGGAATAAGATTAGAGTTAAAATTATATATAGTAAATTCACAAGGAATCTTTTTTGTTAGAACATCAGAGACGGTTTCATAGGAAAAAGTTCGAGATACAAGCTATTTTTCAAAAACAGACGTTCGTTTGAATTTTTCTGTTACACATGATTCTGCGATTTGATTGGTTATTAAATAAAAATGTTCAACATTTATCACGCGAAAATCACGCGAGATCTTTAAAACGCATCACTTTTTGTAGAAATGATATTTTATAGAGCTCGTTACAAAGAACAAGTTACCGATCAGTTTTTTAAAATATCATTTCTACAAAAAATTGATGCATTTTAAATACCTCATGTGATTGTTGAGTATAAACTTCCAGCACCATACTTTTGTTGAATGATTGTTGTATGAATGTTGAACAAAACAATTTACAGTTTTTTTATAGGGTAACCGCGTAAACCCTTTATCAACTTTAAATTGCTAAAACTTTTGATTGAATAAGGAAGGTTTTTAAAAACTGTTCTAGCCAATAGCAAAAAAGAACATTTTGGCTAGAATTTTTTTGTTTAATAAAAATTGAATGAATAGTATAATTTAAAATATCGTTGAGAGGTGTGAGTTTATGCTGTTCGCACTGCACTGCGAATTATTGGCTTCGTTGTTAAAATCCGGATCGGATCAAAGAATTGGTAATAGTAATATATACCCTGTCGCATTAAGTGTTAATATCGTGCTCAATTATTTATTAGTTATATTATTCATGCTTTCTTGATATCATCATCCGAGTCAACATCAGGTTCTTGATCAATAAGTCAATGTTGAGTTCATTATTAGTAAGAACAACATTAAGTTCTTGATTGATAGGTCCAATATTGAATTCTTTATTCATAATGAAAATATAACTTTATTTTTTAAAGAGTGAAAGCGAGAATTACTTATATAAAATAGTATGATATCTCTTTCTATAAAGATATTACGATAATAAAGAGCTTAATAAATTTCACATATAGTATCCGATATTGACACGCTCCTGGGTATTAAAGATAAATATCATGATCTGGAAATTTTCCCACTAATTTCCAGATCATGATATTTATAATACTAATGTAATAGCGAACAGAACATATAATCGTAGATCCAATTCGACGTGTTTTGGTAGAGAAATGAACTTGATAACATTTTCTTGTTGTATGTTAGAAAAATCAAGCAGATTCGTAATATTATGTATTTTAGGAAAATTTCAAAGTTCTCAAGAATATGTAATTATTAGAGATATTTACAAATATTTTAAATTTTAGCAAAGTATTGAAAAATTGTGTCTTATTTATTCACAAAATTTATGACAATTTGACTCCTGACACTAATGAACTCATTCGAAATTTCCAATTATTTACAGTCAGACCTCCCTAAGTGCAAATGCACGTTCTAATTTGGCTCCAACTTATAAGATATATATGTATTTTTACCTCCGTAAATGCAATACCTCGCCAAGTGCAAGTTTTTATATGGTCCCGACGAATTGCACTTAGGGAGATCTGACTGTATTTAGATAATGGTTTTTCGAGAATTAATCTCATATTCTACAAATTTTCAAAATAGTGTGCTTGTTTGAATTGGTCCGTCATAATTGTGAGACTTTATGCACACTATGGTGTCATTTTTTGAAGAAATACTAACATGTCAGAGAATTTGATAGAATTTAAAATGCATAAATTAATAAAGACTGTTCTAAAGAGTCGGATTGATTTATAAAATATCTCAATAAACCATAATTGCTCAATACTTTGTTAGAAAATTATTAAATTATTGAATTATGTAATTTTGAATTTTTTTAATTTACGCACAAAATACTAGAATTTCTTGGTCAAAAAACTGTCAATTTTAAGAAATTACCCGGTGATCATTCGCTATAACAATAATGAGCGTTTTTCTAATATAACAAAGTTTTATAATAATTTATTATATATATTATTATATAAAGTTTCCTGGAAACCCTATTTTTAGTTAGTGTTAAAAGTGATTTTTGATTTATCAATAAGGTTTAATATAGTTTGACAGTACCTGTCAAAACCATAAGAGCTTTAACAGGCGACTTTGATATATGATGCAGGAACTCTTAAATCGACATTATGTTTCATGTTATAAATCCTTAACTAGGAAGCAAATCTGGTAATATTATATGTATATATATAGATGATTTTCTTGATACATGTAATATTACCGGTTAGATTTTGGGTTTACGTACTTCCCAGTTAAGCTGATAGAATTTATAACATGAGACATATTGTCGATTCAAAATTTCCTGCATCATAACTACTTTTTATAGTTATTGTTTAAATTATTATTAAAATAATTTTTTTAGTAATTAATTGATAAAAAAATTTAAAATTTATTGATTTTTTATTATATTAACTTATAAAAATAATGTAGCATCATCAATCGGACCACACTGAACATAGTCCAATATTGCACCACTAAATCACTGAACTTAATAATTTATGGTCTAATATGGTCAGATTCAGTAATTTCTGATTATTGAACATATTAATAAAATTGATACAAATTTTGATACAAATTAATTTGAAAATTTAATATAATAACAAATCAATTTTTGTTTACTAATATGCTAAACAAATTTTAATAACTTATAAAAAATATATCAATATCAAAATTTACTATTAAAAATATAGTAAATTTCCAATTTTATTTTCATCAAAACATTTTATAAAAATTTTATTTTATATTAAAATAAAAATTATTTTCAATTTACTAGATTTTTAATAATAAATATTAGGAATAATACTGTGAATTATCAAAAATGATTGCTCACTCCCAAAAATTTTCTTATTATATTCAAATTTTTATTTTATACAAGAATAATGATAATAATCTATGCTTTAACATATAATTTTCTTGAATTTTTTAAATTTAATTAGAAAATAATTAATTTAAAATATTCAAGAAAATTATATGTTAAATTATGGAAAGAAAATTTTTAATTTTTATTAATAAATTTTTGGGGTGGTCGGTCACTTTCGGTAACTCGCTGTACATTCAGTGCTGTCACTTTATTATAATATATTTTTAAATTGAATTTTTCTATTTTAAAGATATTATTAATTAAAATTTTTGGAATGTGAATTTTCTTTATAAACTAATGTGGAATTATTAAAGCTAATTCATTAATCAAATATACTATATATATATATATAGCAGATATATATACTTCATAGATACTAGTAGTATTTTGAAATATCGATTTTAAAAATTGAAAAAATCAAAATTTCGAAAATTTCATTTAATTTAGAATTACGAAATTTTAAATAAAATCTTAGAACTATTAATATTGATATATATACAGTCAATTATATCATCCCTTTGTTCTTATATGTTGATGGAATATATCTGAATATATAAAACACATATAAAAAGGAAACTCGTTCCAGCTCAATTGTGGGGATATAAATGAGGTTTTAAATAAGGGGAATATAACCCAAGGGAGATATAACCCAGGTACGACTGTATTTCGATCTTAGTTTACAATAAAATTAATCTCCACATTTTTTTCAAAAAAATAGCCAAATTTTGGAATTTCAACATGTATAAATAACCAAAAATATTACAAATTTAAATTTTATTTTAATAATTGGAAGGTAAATATATTTAACTTTTTTTTTGCATTTTATTAATAATAAAAAATATCAGATAAAAGACAACTGCAATATTTATTATCAGACAATTTTCAAATAAAAAATAATTTTTTAAAAGAACAAAAAGTATATTTAGAAACTTGAATCAAAAAACGTAGTAATAAACTTGAAGAGAAAATGACAATTGTAAACTTAACGACAATATTTGACATACCAGAATAAATATTGGTTGAAAATTCACGATGCTTTTTAAATGAACACGAATGCGTGGTAATGATAAATAAATATTCGTGTGCTTTTAGCAAAGTTTCTAATTAGGATCCAATATATATATTTAAACACTCGTTTCCTTCTTTTGTGATATGTAGAGTTATAATCATCGATATATACTTGATATTTAACACTAAAAAGAAAATTGATGCAAAATTTAGTAATACAGAGAAAATTACATAATATTTGAAATTTACGAAAAAAAAGTAGTTTCTATTAATATTCAACTTATAAATACGAAAATTAAGACATCTCTAACAGACGTCACTTTTTGAGCTCTTTCGTTCTATTTATTACACGTGTTTAATTTAGCTCTCGTGCGAAATAACTTGGGTTTTAATTTATTTCTTTGCTTCGATTTTCTCGAAGCATTTGAGTACCAAGCTTTTTCTGTAGTTTATCATAATTATCAAACCAATAGACAAGAACGCAGGAAATTGCCCAAATTAATAATGAAATATAAGGTTGTCGCCAGTGAAATAAAATCATTGATTCCAACTGAGTTAGTAATAGAAGACACCAAGTGAGGCCTCGCATTATAATCGACGTTATAATGTCATCTAGAGAAATAATGTCATCTAGAGAAATTGGCGACGTCGTTTGGTTAGTCATAGAAAATTGTACTTTCTCAGAATGATGTGATTGAGCTGTGGGATCATTGGTTTGATAGCTAATTTTAGGCGAATCAGAGGTGAAAAGATTGATATCTTTTGACTCGGGTGAAATTGTTCCGGTAAGCGACAACGATGAATCGAGGTATTCTGGAAATAAAAGTTTATCTGTTTTTGATGGTGCGATTGAATTTTTTGCATTTCTTTTTTTGATTATGCGTTGATGTTTTTGAATTCTTTTGAGATTAGAGCATTCAAAGGAAGCCATTTCAAGGGTTTTAAATAGAAAACAAGGATAAAATTCGAATTAATCAAATTCAGGTGTGATTTTATATTCGTATGTGATCTGCAGGCAACGAATTAATTAATAAAATGGAAAATATGATTTGATGAATAAGTATTCTGATGAAAAACTCCTTGCATATTTATGGACTTTGATTCTCTGTTCGTTTTGTTGTTGTATTCTAATCATCTAAATTATACGTTAGAACCAATCAAGATTATTTTTTCTCCTTTTATTGTTGATGAGGAGTTTGGTGAAAACCGGTTAGAAGTATCTTGTTGCAAGTTACCCGCAACACTCGCATTAGGTATTAATATATAAACACAAGTTTCATTATTGTTGTATTGTCTCGAAACATAAAAATTCCTTATCGTTATGTAAATTTGACTCCAATCTAATCAAATTTCACAATACCGTATATTTTACAGAACAAAAAATGATTTGGTACAATACAACTCAATATTTCCATCCCAAAATAAAAATCGGCAATGAATGTATTCATGTCGAACTACGAACGTACAAACGTCTACATTGAAGATCCCTTATATTTCAAGATTGTATTGAGCTTTACCATTCCAATGAATACAAAGATGAGGTACCCGATTCGACTGAATCCCTAATACCATTCTCATGCTGAAATTTTAAGATTGCAAACAGACATCACGTTGAGAGGATTAAACGATATCAGCAATTCAAGAGCTTAACTTCAGAATATGTGTTCGTCGATGGATAGTTATTGGCGGTAATATACCTATCATCGAGCTTGAAAAGGGTGATCCGACAAAACGATACGGAAGGATGCTTGATGTTCTATGTACATATACTCAATGTGTCAACAATTCATAGTGATATTTCACAAAATCAATCAATTCGTTGGACTGAATGTGAATTCATCAACTTTGCTGATCTCACTATGTGAGAAAATATCGACCCACGAAGGATTCTAGTGAAAATCATACGACTTTTTGGCGCCTCAGTAATAATATATTTCCAAAGGAAATTGCCAATTAAAAATTTGCGATGGCAAATAATTCAAATTTTCGTCGGTTCTGTATCACCACCAATTCGAATATCATCATTTTCCTTCCATATTTAAATTTTTCATTTATTTCAGAAATATTTCATAGACAATTTCATTCGACATATTTCAATGATTCAAAATATCAACCAAATATATTTTTCATTAATACACTTTCAAGTTGCTACTTATACGTATACGTAATGCTGATAGTTCCTCTTTCTTTATCACACTCTTCTATCTAACTTGAAAGTGTATTAATGAAAAATATATTTGGTTGATATTTTGAATCATTGAAATATGTCGAATGAAA